TAACATAATTATATGATATCAGTAATGAACAATCACTACAAGAAAATAAGTAATTTCTGACGGTCATATCGGTTAGAAAACGGTCGGAAATAGGTTGTTCTGACGGATTTCTGACGGATAAGGCCGTCAGATCTATATGGTTGGAAATTTTGGTGTGGTCGGAAATGGTCAGAATTTTCTGACCGATAACCGACGAAATTTAACGGTCAGAAATTTCCGACAGATTGTTCGTCAAAATATCGGTCAGAAATTTCTGATGGAATAGACGGTCGAAAACTTTTGACGGAAATACCATCTCTACAATCATCATATAACGGATGTTTTGCTGCATCTAGCATATCATAAAATTTCTGCGCTTCAAAATTTGGTTCCTCCACTCTATATCTATCTTCAACCATTTGAACAGTTCCTATGTGTTCATCTAAGCCACCTTGTTGTTTTTCTAATCCCCCCTTGTTGTTTTCTTCACTAGTACTACCGAAATTCACCATAAGATCAGTTTCACCATGCGAATACCAAACTTTATAACCCACCATAAATCCTCTACTATATAAATGCTTCCATACACCACTAACTGAACAAAACCTACGATTTTGACAAACTGGACAAGGACAATACATCATACCCGTCTCCAAAGTCCTCTGTTGGTTTGAGACAAATGACATAAATTGTTGAAGACCTTGTGCAAACTTTTCTGTGACAAGTCCAGTAGTTGGATCTTGATGATTGTGACAAATTTTCTGACCGATTTTTGACCGTTTCTGACCGACTTCAACGTTTATAAAAACCGTTAGAAATTTCTTACCGTTTTCTGACGACTTTTGGCGGTCAGAATTTTCCGACGGATTTCCGACGAATTTCTGACGGATAATTTTTAAAATTATTGTCCTCGGAAAATCGCCGGATATTTCTGACCGTTTTCTGTCCGAATGTTAGTCGTCAGAAATGTCTGACCAAATTACATTTCCGTTGGAAATTTGTCAGAAATTTCTGACCAAAAACAAATCGGTCAGAATGTCCGTCAGAAATTACTTATTTTCTTGTAGTGAATGTAATATATGTAATAGTTAAGAACCTAATAAATTTTAACAATTCATAGGTGCAGTAAGGATTATATGATATCAGTTCCTAAATATTTAAAGAAGAGTAATTAACACATATCAGAGGCGCAAGGGTGGTTTGAAAATCATAACAATAAGTAATTGCCATTCATAAATGGTGAAATTATATAGATAAAATGTTTGGAAAGGGAAAGAACTCTGAAAGATGCAAACTGAAAGGAAACTAAACTGATAAAAAATAGAAATTTAAACTGAACAGAACCATTCAATCCTTGATAAGCATGCACTCATTTAGGGGTTTTGGTCCGCCCTACGGATGAAAAGTTATAGTAAAAACTATTATAAATTTATTTTCTTAATTTTATGAAGCATTAAATCATTATAAATTAAATAAAAAAATAATAAATAGTCTGAGATTGTACTAAACATTTTTAGTTTGAATAAAAAGGACAGTAACCTTCATTATTCTCTATTTTAGGAGAATATAAAATTAGTAAAAATAATTCAGAAAATGTAATATATATATATATATATATATATATATATATATATATATATATATATATATTCTTATTATTTGATTTCACTTCGACATAGTCAAAGAAAATCTAACATTTAAATGAATCATAGTGATTTGCATAAGTTAGTTTTGTATATCCTTAAAAGTTAGAAAACAAAGAGATACATAACTACTAATTGATTCAATTTTTTTGGACTTTTCGTTTATGATCATAAAACCACCTCTAAAGGGAATTCTTCTATAGAATTCCACAAATATTTATACATATATAATATATACATATATATATATATATATATATATATATACATAATACATATTTTAAATGGGAAGAATCTCCATTGGAGGTGCTCTAACGCTTACTATATCACTAACTATTTACTATTTGTGTTATTGACAAATGCATTTTCTTAAGACTGTTTGGTTTATTTGAAACATTTATGATGTATTTGTTTTGGTTGTCTTGACGACTGTATATTAACAATTATGATTTGTTTCCTTACCAAAAATTAATGAAACAATTATGTTTTATCAGTTTTTGGGTGTTTGAAATCTTCTTAATAGTTTCTCTACGGTTGGACATTTTATCCATAAAGTTTGAATAGACTATTTTGATTTGAAAATTCCGGATATCCGTAAATTTTCGAAGCAAAGTAAAATAAAATTCAATATCCATTAAAAACGAAGTAAATCACAAATACTAATAAATTAGAATCGGATATCTGATCTGTTCCAATTTTTATAAACGTAAGTTTATATATACAATTAAATATAGAAATTTAAATGAATAATTTATACAATTATTATTTTAATATATAATTTAATTAATTATGTTTGTAAAATTACATATAAAAGTATTAACTTAAGAAAGGAAGATAAAATCTTTATAAAACTATAATTTTCTTAAAATTTTATGTTTTATTTAAAATTAACTAATTTTAAAAATTTGTGAGACATATAATTTCACTAATCTTTGTTATGTAAAATATATTTTTGGAAAAAAACTTGTATAACTGTTTTTTTTTTTAAAAACAATTTATATTGAACAAAGTGGATGAAATATCCGTAAATTGTTCACATATATTATTCGTAATTTTTCGAAACATAGAAAATTGAAAAATTAAATATCCGTAAAATACAAAGAAAATCGTAAATACTTAAAATTATGGTAGTATTCGATTCATGCCACCCCTAGTTTTATCTATGAATATGTCAGCCAAGTAAAGATCAAATAATTATATATTTAAGTGCACACTGGTCCTAACTTTGTAAAATCCTCTTGGCAAACTTAAATAGATTTCAACTAAAGAGAATAATATACCATGTTAGTATAATATGCCTCTCTGTAAGAAGTGTCAGAAAATTAATCCATAAATATTGTTAAATTTTCAGTTTCAGATTCTTGTAATGCTTAAAGGCAAGTTTTGTTCGTCTGGAGTTATTTTTAATGTAATTCAAAAGAATTCTGTTTTTTTTTTGTGTACTATCTTCTATAAACACACTGGAACCAAACTTATTGGTCCTGATCCACATAAAGTCATTAGATAGAAGACAACAGCCTAACACCATAGTCTATTTTGACACATTTTCGATAATTTAGTTAGGAGTTCGCAGAGAAAAAAAAGTCTATTTAGTTAAAAGCTTCCTAAAAAAATATCAACAAATTAGTGTAGTGTCTAATTAAAGGTTTTTTGTGACTTTCTATTCTCCAGGTCTTTTGTGAGTGTATGTATATATAATGTTTCATTACTCACTATTAGTTCAGAAGTTGTATAAATAGTTTTTTATGAATAATTTTAACATCTCAAATTATATTTTTAACACATTTTAACATGCAGAGGAAGTGAGTTCTTCAAGGCCTATATTGCGTTTACTTAATTTGAGCTTAAAGGAAGACATGTATATTGATAAGTTAAACACCACCCACCACGTTGAGTTTAATTAAAAATAGATAAAGTTCTAAATTATAGTGCATAACCAAACGAAAAGGACGACATAAAACATAAGGAAATGTAATAATGATTTATGTTTTCTAGGTGGATCTAATCTTAATCGTGTTCCCTTCTTTCCATTATTTGGGTCAACAATCTGATTGTTTGATGCTGAACGTCCTCCTTCTGGTACAGCAGATGCAGGGCGGTCCCAGGATTGGATATTAGTGGGGTCAGAAAAATTAAAATGTCACTGGTGGGAGTTGAACCTAGATTTTTGAGGGTTCAAGAACTGTGTTTTACCAACTCTGATGCCTAATCTTTGTTGTTTTCCTATACGAATTAGCATATTATTGACCTGAACAATCCCACATGGCAGAAAATGCAGCCCCTATTGGCTGATCAAATTGGCTGACATGGCATAACTCATAGGCTCTTAATAAGAGATTTTAATTATAGTAGATAGGACAATTATGTGTGTTTGACTTAAGAAAGCAATTTTCACACTTCATGTCTCTATTTTGCTTGCTTCGATGTTGTCCTTTGGGTCTTCTCTTGTGCTTTGCTATGGTACACTTGCCTCTGTGCGACTCTCTGTAGTATGCAGTCTATGTTATGGTCTCACTCTAGCAATTGATAGTTTAAAGTTGCTTTCTCATCACTTGTGGCAAATTCGTAAGGAAACACTTTTTGTTTCTATCTTTTCAATGTTTCTGGATTATTTATCTATTGTGAAGTATGATTGCCTCCCATAAGTTCCATTCGGCTTGAGTGGCTGTGTTGCAGGGAGTATCCCAAGATTATGTATGCTTCCATGTTTGTTATGTTAAAAGGTTCATCCATTTGGTGCTATGCCGCTTTTGCTTGTGATGTTGAACTTCTGATTGTTAAATCTATTTCTGTTGCGGTTTTTCAGTCTTGGGTGTTAGACCAATACTTGTGTTCTCTAATTCCTAAAGCCTCATTTCATTTCTTAGTAGGATTGGCGTTGAGTTTCGAGGACTGCTCAGCAACATTAGGTGTTGTTTATGCGTTAGCCAGTTTAGTCTTGTTATTGCTTGATTTGTTATTGCTTGATGTAAACAATTTCTCCAGCTATGGATACTAATGATTTATAAAACTGCTGTTTGCTCAAAAAAGAAAAAAAAAATTAGCAATTTTCCCTTTAATCTTTTGTTATGCTCGCAACTTGCTTTAAAGATATATATGTATATACTCGTATCATCCATTGACTTTTACCCTCTCAACCATTGAAGAAGCTTTATAGATATGAACCACGTAATCCGAGATTTCTTATTTTCTTAGGCGTAAAAAAATATCAGTTTCTTTGTTTTATCAGTTCCAATAAGAAAAACTCAACTTTCAGTTAAATATTGAATTCAGTTAATAAGCGAAAGAAAAAGAAAGAAAGAAAGAAAGAAAGCCTCTCGTCTCCTAAAATCAACCCTTCACGTCAAACTAGCGGAGCTACACTTTACATATCAACGAATGGGTCGTCCTGAGTTTAGCTTGTCGCGGTCCTACAGTATTAGAACTCAACAAAGGGAGGGACCAGATATTGTTTTACCAGTTCAACAAACCAGTGTATCGATCCAACAAACCGGGGTTCCCGTCAGTCAATTCGCGCCCGCCCCCCCAGGTTATCATCAAGCTAACGTTGATATATCGGTTGGGACTCCATGGAGGACGGGTTTGTTTGACTGTCAGGAAGATCAAACTAATGGTATTGTGTATCTACTTTTTTTTTTTGTGTAATGGTATTCTGTATCTATATATGATATTTCTTGATCTATGTACAGTCTTATTATAGGCGTAGATACTCTTATTGTTATTGCTATCGATTCAATATTAATGGACTCACTATAACCTTTACTACTATGTCAGCCGTGATGACAGCAATTTTACCATGTGTGACATTCGGACAAATAGCTGAGGTGATGGATGAAGGAGCGATGAGTATGTTTACGGTTTACACAATTTGAAACTGGAATCAGATTATTCAATAATATGAAGCTCTCATATGCACAACTGTTTATGCAGCTTGTCCTCTTGGAAGTTTCATATACTTGTTGATGATGCCAGCTTTGTGCTCACAGTGGGTGATGGGATTAAAGTATAGGGAAACAATGAGGAGAAGATTTAATCTTGTGGAAGCTCCATACTCAGATTGTGCCACTCATGTCTTATGCTCTTGTTGCTCTCTTTGTCAAGAATACAGAGAGCTCAAGGCTAGGAATCTTGATCCTATTTTGGGTACTAACTTAAAACTCCACTCTTGAGTTAGTATAGCCCATGAATTTTTACTATATATGTTCAAATGTTTTTAGCCTAACGGTTAGAGGGGGAGTATTTGGTTCTAAGTTTTCAAAAAGAAAAACTATTTGGTTTTATCATAACAGGATTTGAGTATAAACATACTGATACCTTTTTTTTAAACCATACGAATACATTGGTTTACGCGTTGATACTAAACAGGATGTTTCATGATCTAGAAATATTATGAGCTTTTCATAGAAGAAACTACTTTCCTAATTTTGTATAAAATATGATGTCTATATATATATATATATAAATAATAATAATAATAATAATGTGAATAAATTATTTGTTTATAATTGCAGGTTGGAATGGGATACTTGCTCAAAGGCAAGGACAACATGAGAGTGGTGACGCACCAAGCTTTGCTCCACCAAAGCAATATATGTCTAAGTAAATAATCTTTGTTAACCTCCAAATTATATACACATTATTTGCGACCATTATACAGTGAAACCTTTATAAATTAATTATATTGAGACTACACCAAAAATTTATTTTTTTTATTAATTTAGAGAGATAATAATTTATTGATATACTAATCGAACCAAAAACTCAATTTGGGTTTATAAAATTATATCATTTTATAAATATATTTAGTGTATATTAATTTATCGAGTATTAATTTATAGAGATTCTACTGTACAATACAAGTGTTTCATATGTATTATGTAATGTAAAATATTAGAATCAGATTTATTATGGGTTTCCAACTTAAAACTAATTGGTGATTAGTGGATTAACCCTAACCTTTTATATATTACTTAAGGTCCCATTAATTTTTTCTGATGTGAGATATATTATCCCTAATACTCCTTCCTGAGATGATGGCTCTTATCGGTCCGCAATCTCGGTTGAACGAGTCAAATACGACAATTATACCTAATAGGAAGGTTAAACACGGCCTATATACCCGATAGATATTTACTTTTAATTATAAATTAATTTATAATTTATATGTATAACTTACATTAATAATATTATATTATTTTATTTTATTTCTATATACGATTTGGGAGATGTTATATTTAATCGGTTTGGTTCTTTTTTTGGGTCAATAGTCGATTTGGTTACACTTGTGTATTTTAGATTGCATCTACTTTTTTTTTAATTCAACTATAATATATTTCTTCTAAATATACTAAAAGTTTGATTATTATTTAATTTAGATTGGTTATCGTCTTATATATGTAAGATTATATATAACTTAATATATATTGTGCTTATAATGAAATTAAAAATAAACTGAAATTTTGACTCAAAATTACATTAATGAATATAAATATAATATTCTGAACTCTCATTCATATATATATATATATAAATTTTAGAAAAAAACTGAATTATAATAGTTGGTTAATAATTTATTTATATTGATATTTTTTAGTCATCCTGTAATTTATATGTATAAAAATAAATAATTATTCTTTTTTTTTGTCATCAATAAATAATTATTCTAAAATTATATGTTCTTGTTGTAGTTAGATCTTTTAGTTTGGATATAAGTTATACTCGTTATGTTACTCGTTTTGTGAATATATTGAGTTATATATATTTTCTAATTCAAATGAAAATATAATTACTTTTATTCTAATTAAATCAAATTAAATTAGTTTTATTTATCGCTTATTGCAAGTATTATTATAATATTTTTAATAATGGGATATATGTTGATTTTTAAGAAACATTAAAAATAAAGTGACGATTAATAGGAATTTACATACATAAATATGAGTATAAAGATAAACTTTTTAAATTTCATGAGCACATATTAATATTTAAAATAATTAAACATTTATAAATTCCAAATTATATTATGCCTTAGATTTCTTAAAAGGTAAACTGAAACGTATTTTAATCAATCTTAAAAATGAGAACTTAGATTTACTTGAGTATTTTTATTATGTATATATTAAGTTCCACAAACATAAAAAATATAAAATTAAAAGGCAAACTAAATATTATTTTATTAATAATGATAAAATATAATATTTCTATTTCAGTAATAGTGTATAGTGCTACGCTATTTAAAAGGATTTTTGAAATTATTTGATCAAAATATTTATTTTTGTAAGAAAATATTTTTAGTTTCCTTTTTAATATCTTTTAAATAAACACTAACTATGTTATTTTAGGAAAATTTCACAAACAAATATTAAATTTCATTTATATATAAATATTTATATTTTATAAATATTTCCTTTTTTATTTACGTGTTTTAAAAAAGTAAACTTAAATTAAAAGTTAAGTAAAATCTAATTATGAAAAAAGGAAATACATTATTAATATCAATCTTATTTAATATTTTTAATTCATTAAGAGTATCTATGTAATCAACCATCGTGAGAGTTAACGTGAGTGCGACACGTAGGAAACTGACTTCTCAAATAATATTATAGAGATCAATCACCAAAAACTACCCCTGCGTTCCTTAAAAATACATATTCTAAAAAAAAATTGTTTCTAAAAGATCTATTTTTTACATTTTCAATGCATGTTTTATTAACTAATTATGAACTTCAAAAAATTTAATTGCAATACTTGTTTTTTTATTGGTTTAAAATTATGAAAAGAAGATAAATACAAAAAACTATGTAAATTTATTGTGTTTTATTAAAAAGTTTGAAAAAACTAGAATATGAATCTTTTAAGAACATAGAGAGTATTAATTATCACTACCAAATCCAAGCGGATGAAGGTCATATCATATTATCATATCTCCTATATATTAATTAAAGATCATTTAAAAATTATAATCTTAAATTTGTGCTAGTTAAGAAAAACCATTATATCTGGCAGTTTTCTATATTTTCTATATTCTATTTAGAAGAATTCTAAAATATTTTATATGAAACATAGTTTTAAAACAAAGTCTCTTGGTCTCACAAAAGATATATCAAACTAAATAACATATCAAACTAAATCTTCTATATATTATTTCTTTAAATAAAATCTACGGAATTACCTAATGTAATTAAGATATATATGACTATTAATGATTTTAAATAATAAAGATTTAAAATAATTTGTATACTTTATATCATTTTTGTATAATTTTTTATTATTAAAATAAATTACACAACTACACTAATCATATATTAAAAAATTAGATTTTTTATATATGTTGTATTTTGAAATTCTCAAAACGAGTATAAATTACTCAAACTGTTAAAACTCTCACATAAACTTTTGTGATCAAGGTCTAAATTGTTTTTCTATAATAAGTTACAATGATTATAAAATCATATGAATAAATAATTTTATTAATAGTTGTTTATGTTAATATATATATCTCATATTGTATGAATAAAAATTTATTTTAAACATAATTATAATTTAAAATTTAACTTAATTTTTGGGCTTTTTGAAAATTTGACTCAAAACTCAAACTCAAACACAAAACTAACATTTTTTTTCTTTTGCCCTATCCACCCCACATGTTCACATTATTCACGAAAATGCCATTAAATTTTTATTTCTACTTAAAATAGTTTTTTACTCTGTCAATCTCATCATCTTTAAGTATTTACAAGATTGTCATTTCCATCAATACCCCAACCACCAAGAACAACTAATTTGAAGCTCTTAATGCACCTAAAATTGATTTCCACTCTCTCTTTCTCAATTGTTATGAACTAAAAACAATATTTTTTCACCTTGTCTCCATATTCAACCCAAAAACTCAAGCTTTTGATTCAAATTTTTTTTTGGTTGATAGAGCCCTTCAAGCATACTATTCTTGGTGGGTTACTTTCGTTTGAGGTTCTGGGTGGTTGGAGAAGACTCTGTGTGCTAAGGAAGTCATCTCACTAGTTTAAGGTATAAAATTGAATTTCTTTTTCCAAATCTGTTCGCGTAGAAGACTTACCCGTAAGTCCTCTGGCTGTAGAAAACTTACGGGTAAGTCTTATGGTCAAACAGACGACTTACCAATAGATCGTCTAGGATAAACGGGTTAGTTTTGCATTTGACATAATTGTGTCAGATATTTGATTTTTCCTGGACGACTTACCAGTAAGTCGTCTCTCGGAAAACAAAAATTTCAATATTTTATTAAAGCTAGACGACTTATCTGTAAGTTTTCTCAGGTTAGTTTTGCAATTGAAAAATAAAACTTAAATATTTAACTTTTCCTAGAAGACTTACACAGAAGTCGTCCAGTCAGACGACTTACTTGAAAGTCGTCCAGGATAAGCAAAGTCGTCCAGATTTTTTTTCGAGATTCTGGTGAAGCCTTGCTTATCTCAGACGACTTTCTCATAAGTCGTCTTACTGGACGACTTTCAAGTAAGTCGTATGGGAAAAGTTAAATATTTAAGTTTTATTTTTGAATTGCATACTAAACTGAGACGACTTACAGATAAGTTGTCTAAATTTAATAAAATATTGAAATTTTTGTTTTTCTAGAGACGACTTACTGGCAAGTCGTCCAAGAAAAGTTAAATACCTGACACAATTCAGTCAAATGCAAAACTAATCCGTTTATCCTAGACGACTTACTGGTAAGTCGTCAATATTATTTTTAACAAACAAAGCTGGACGACTTACAAGTAAGTCGTTCCATTTAAAAGTCAATTGCAAAAATGACATGTTAGGACGACTTACTGGTATGTCGTCTGCGTCAATGTTTAGTAAACTTTCATTTTCTCTAAGTTTTCTAAAGTGTTCTGTTTTGAATTTTTACAGATGATGCGTCTGTTACATGCAGTGTATGGAGAATGGTTGTTGAAAGATTGCCGTTGTGATTTTGTGGTTGATAATTTCAAATGAGCGAGAATCTTTATTTTTTTGAGTGAAGGTTCAACACATGTTGAACTTGTTGCAATGGCTCAAGAAGATTATAACCTGGACATGAGCACAAAATCTGTGGAGATAACCTACTCATTATCAGCATAAATGATGCAACATATGGCTCCAGACACCCCTCCTATTCATGTTACAAGTGATAGACAAGTTTGAAACTTGCTCAAGATAACCAAAACGCATGGAGTACGGCTTTGTGTATCAAGCCGTAGCAAGGTGGAAACAATTTCATAGGAAAGTGAAGAAGCTGATGAAGCTGATGAATGTTTTGAAGATGATGATGATGATTTGGTTGAAGATGAAAATTATGATGAGGAGGAGGATGATGGGGAGGAGGATGCTGATATCTCTATTGTTGCTGAAGCTGGCGAGAATTGTGAGGATTACAGTTTTCATGGAAAATTTAAAGATGAGGATGAGGAAGAAGATGATGATATGTGTTCTGAAGATTTCAAAAAGACATATGCTATTGAAGGAGAAAGATCAAATGGTAACAATATCTATGTCAACCAGAGTTTTGTTAGCAAGGATGCAATGCTTTCAGAGCTGCGGTTGACAGCAATGAGGCGTAGGTTTTCCTTCAGAATATATAAG